AATACAAATACCTAGGAACCTGGATTTCAGACAATGATCAAACAAAGCTAGGATAGAAATAGCAAGAAATGTGTTTGTAAAAAATGAAAACAATTCTCTGCAACAAAGATCATAGATTAGAACTGAGAGTAAGAGCACTGAGATGCTACGTGTTTTCGATACTGCAATATAGACTTGAAAGCTGGATATTGAAGCAAGAACACATAAATAAGTTACAGTCGTTTGAAATGTGGTGTTACAGGAGGATGCTTAGAATAGCATGGACACAGAAGAAGACTAATACGGAAGTATTGCGAGAAATGGGCAAAGAATGCGAAATAATAAACACAGTAAAAATAAGAAAGTTACAATATCAGGGACAAATAATGAGGTGACAGCGATATGAACTGCTAAGGCTGATAATACAGGGAAAGATAAGAGGAGGAAGGAGTATAGGAAGAAGGGGAGCGACATGGTTGAAGAATTTAAGGGACTATTAAATGCAGTTCTATAGAACTCTTTAGAGCAGCAGAAGATAAAGTAAAGATAGTGATGATGATATCTAACCTCCGATTGGGAGAAGGCACTTAAGAAGACAATCAATGTGACGAAGAGTTGAATTTTGAGTCACTTTTACGGGAGGTCACTTTTTGTCAACATTTGTTGTAACTTTGGTTATATTTTAGACATTTTATTATGTTCCTCCTCCCCCTCAGTCCCAATCCCTTTTGGGATGTGGTGTCACCATCAAGCCCTTACAGTTTTTTCACGATTTCCCTCCATCCTTCCCCGTCCTGAGCTAGGTGTTAGGCTTCATGTAACCCTTGGTTAATCAATATTTTTGTTTGGTCTGCCCAACGGCTTGGAGATCTTACCCTAGGTCTCTTTCCTTCAACTCTACCCTCAACTATCAGTTTTTCCATCGCACCTGTTCTTCTAGCAATGTGTCTAAAATACTGCAAATATCTCTGTTGTATTTGTTTAAGCAATCTATCCTTTATTTTATGTTGTTCTAATATCGATATGTTAGTGCGATGATCAACCCAGGATATTCTTAACATGCGGTGGTATACCCACATTTCAAAAGCGTCTAGTTTATTTTTATCCGCTTTCAAGGTCCACGTTTCGGATGCTATGTGAAAAATGAGTGCCCTTACCAGCCTTAGTTTTGTGTGTATTGTTATGCTAGAATTTTTGCTCTGTCACACCCTCCGTCATTTATTGTGTTACTTTCTGGTATTATTCTGATTTAATGTATTACATAATAGATAATTCGTAAGATTGCATTAAAGAATTGACAAATACGCGTAGATGTTTCATGTTTTTGCATAAAAAACGGCGCCTCATTTTGTGTCACAAATTAAACGAAGAATTTAAAATTGATTTTTTATTTGAAATATTTCAGTGGCATACCATTTTATGTTTAAAATAATTCAGACCATTACCTGTATGCCCCTCAATGATGAATATAAAATTCTTAATTGTACCTATGTCAAAAAATGCGCAATAACTACCTCTTAATACCCACTAATACACATATCTTAACCGGTTTCAAAGCAAATCTCAAATTGTAAGAAAAATTACAACACTCTGTGTCTCGGAAACGAAGCAGTTGCGGACATACTTTTATATAACAAACTATCGTTATTCTTCATACACAATCACCCCCTGAAGTGTGTCACACTTATTTACTAGCATCCTGTATATTTATATGCTAATACTAAGCATTATATCCATACATAGCATTATCAGTTTTAATCAATATCTTAGCTAATTAATTTGTCACATTCTAATTATTCTTATATTGACAGCAAACTTTTGACTTAAAAATTATAGTTTAATTCATATAAATTTAATGATAGCGCATGTTAAGACTTTCTAGACCAAGTGTTTTATAAGCAAATTATGACTGGACTTGCAGCTTTTTTTTATTTTTTTTTCCATGGTCATTTTCACATTATCAGTGCAGTTCAGCATCATCAGTACTGTAGTTTGGTATTGTTAGCAGATTAATTTTCCAACAATTCTCATACATGTTCTGCCTATTTCATGAGGATATTACCTTTTCTAATAAGTAACTTGACATCTTTATCATTGTATATGATAGTCTTTAGTTTAAAATGCTTTATTATTTAAATCTTATATTTATATGTGATTAAGCCACAATTGATTACAATGAAAATTACATTTTATAATAATTGTTATTATTTGACGTTGCAATTTCCACTCCGGAAATCATTTTCAAATAAAGATTTTTGAGCTGTTGTTATAACCAATAGTTGTTGTGGCGGTTATTGTAATTAAAATGGATAGGAAATAAGTACAATATCGCAAGAACCTTCAAACAACCAATATATTGAGATCTATTATGTTCAAAACCAAACCTAACAACACACAAGAGATAAATAACTGCATCTATAAAATACCCCCTACATGGTAATCTGGGTATGCAACCATTTAATCTTGTGGGATAAACCACGAGACCACTAACACTGTCAGGATAATACCCCCTACACACATCCTGACCAAATTAACTGTGGTAAGACATTCGATTTATAAAATATTAAAGATTCATAAAAAATCCTGAAAGAATGATTACGTAAATTGTTTACCCACTTTAATTTGTACAATTAGAATCTAGTGCACACATATATATTGCTAACATGTGTGTCTTGTTTCATAATACTTTCTCATTAGTTCTCAATACTCAGTTTTTTATAAACATTATTTGACCTAATAATCATTATCTAATATAATTGCAAACATACAATAATATTAGTAGAGTTCAGTGATTAAGTCAGTCAGTTAGTAATTGATTCATAGTAGATATTTGTATTTTAATATGTACTATAATCATATAAATAAGTAATGTCATCTATAAGATATTCGTGGGTATAAGTAGTGAATAAATGGATACATTGCAGATTTAATAATATATTATTCTCCAATCCTTCTCTCCAACAATTAAATTTACAGAAAAATAAAGTAAATATGATTAATATAACTGAAAAGACTCTGTTAAGTAATTACCTTAACAAAAAATAAGGCATTTTCTAAAATAAGCATAATCTAATAGATTTTCTAAGGATTTATTGAATGACATAAGTACCCAGATAAGATTGTTCTGAAGCTATTTTCTTGTGGCATTGTAAATTAATTACTATTTAACTGGTATTTAAATAAACATATTTTTATCTTTAATTGTGGCTTTTTACCTAGATAAGGAAACAAAACAGAAAAAGAATTATGTAACCAAAGGAACAAAATAACAAAAATATTTTTAAAAGTAAGAAAAGAAATAAAAATATGTAGCTGAAGATATAGAAAATTTTAGAAAGTGACGTTAGAATTTTTTATAAAGAAGTGAAGCAAATATGAAAAGAATTCAATTTAAATAGAACATAGAATTAATAAAAAATATTTTCAAATCAACAAAAAAGTAGTATAAAGTAAGAGTGTATGCATGCAATAGAAAAATTATCATTATAGGGTCAAAACAGAATATTTTAGAAATAAAAACAAGTAACACCTACTATAATAAAGGAAGGTTGTAAATATATAATTTAATCAATAAAATTGAATAGGATAAAATTATGAGGTCAGTTGAAAGTGGCAACATCCTTACACATTATAGTGATATTAAGTAGGTAAGAAAAAAAATAATAAAAGAAATAAAAAAATATTAAGATCAACTATAAAAATTACAATAATTAAATAGAGTCATAGGAAAACAAAAAACCTTGAAGAGGTATCATGTTCATTATGATATTAGATATTTACCATAACAGTAATTTTTTAATTGTTTAAAAAAATTTCAGAATAGCAATCAGTTTACTTTTACCCTTTGTATATACTTAATAGATAAAACATTATATGTATAGGGTAAAATAAGAACAAATTCATATTTCAAAACAGCATTTTACTTAAACTTAAAAAAATATACCTATAAAAATTGTTATTAATAATCTGCAATATTTTAAAAATGTTCTTTATGGAGTAGCATAAGTCATTTAGTTTGTTCATTACTTCATCCAAATACTGTGATGTCACTACTAATGTGTACATCAAATAAATTGTATAGTGGTGTTAAAGTGTTTGGTTTCAAACATCACCATGTTACTTATTGAAACAAATATTTTAGTAAAGATATATTTATTTATGTAACATAAAAATAAATGATTTTCTCTATGTATTTAACAATTTTAGCTAACTTAAGTAAAATAAACTGTTTATAATCTGAAATAAATTTCAGGCACTAAAATGCTATGATGTTAATCTTTTAGTTAGAGTTTAATAATATATAGGTACTCTTGTCTGTTTTTTACTTTTTAAATATTAGATCATCTAAGATACATTAATAAATATGTCAAGTTTCTTATTTATCACTTATTTAAGTTATTTATTGCATTCTAACATCTTTGAAGTAATAACTTCTAATAAAAATAAAATGCCTTCACTTGCAAGGCCAAAAAAACTACCTAATACTTTGATTAGACTGGACTATATTTAAATTAGGTATTAAAAAAATAATTGGTATGTAAAATGATATTAATCAGTATCAAAAAATATACTTTACAAATAATTTTCATTTCTAATACACATTTTTTCATAATTTACCAATGACATTCTGTCTATTGTACATCTATTAATTACTATAATACATTAACAATTTGCCAAGTGATATTTTTTCCTTTTATATTTACTAAAATTAATAAATTATGCAAACAGAAAAATATAAACTAGAAAATTTTTGTAAATAATAACGAGAACATGACACTTCTGAACATACCCTAAATATCATATGAATTTTAAACAACTATTTACACCAAATACAGGTCATATTCCTAGAAAATTAAAAAATACTTATTGCATGTGTACAAAAATCTGTGAGTTGTAGCCATTTACGATGATGAATCGATGTTAAAAAAAATAACACAACACCTCACAAAATATCGTGCAATTGGGAGTTAAAAGCATTCCTTAAATTAAGTTGGGATTACAATTAGTTAAACACTTCTTACATATTCTTTGTTTTTATCCGTTCACTACGAATTATTTCACAAAATTTTCCAGGCACGGCCATAAAAGCAGCCTAATGTAACAATGGCGGACCCGGTTTTAATTTTTAACATCAGCGCCATCTTTCAAGAAAGTCAAAATAGATCTATTAAACACAATATTTAAGCTTTAAAGCAAGTTAACTGCTAAGTAAAGTCGTTTTTACTACTTTTAGATATATTTAATTCAAATTAAACTTTCACTTGAAACATTTTAATCTCTGAATCGTCTTCAAAAATATACATAATTTTTAATATCACTTAATACGGTTCTGGAATAATACTAAACTGACATTTGACTTGACATAAAAAAGAACAACCCCAAAATTTCTTAATAATTATTTCAGTTTATCATTAAGAATATCAAATTTTGGATTGCCGGTTTAAGATCTAAGATAATTCAGGTATTTACACATCATAAGGTGTTATCCATCAAAATATAATTTTTAAATGTTAAGATTTTAGTTCTTGATATATCTTCTATTTTCGAATTTAATTACCTGAAAAGTTACTTTAATTAAATATGTACCTATAATTTTTTAACTCATATGCATAAAAAAATTAAACATTCCTTTTAATTCTCAACCCCTCTGAACTGACATTAATTTTTGAAATTGTAGAGATTACCGCTCTTTTGACACAAAACAGAAATATTTGTATTACCAATGTAAAAAATCAAATTCACCAAGTATATGAGTCTAAAAAAATTGACGTTTTGCTTTTTTACGTAAATAAATATGGCTACACAAGGAGTTCGTGGAGTTTCTAGAGTTTTACAAAAGTTGGAAAAATCTGTAATAGATGGAAAATTTTATGAAGCACATCAAATGTATAGGACTTTATATTTCAGGTAACTGATAGTTTGTTGGTGTTATTTTTTTGAAGTTTCTTTTATCATAACCTCAAACTTTCAGGTATATGGGACAGAAAAAATATAAAGAATTAAAAGATATGCTATACAATGGCGCAGTTTTATTTCTAGAACGTGAACAGGTAGCATACTGTTTAATTTTTCGAGTTGTTAAGCATATAATACACTGTTCTCTTTTAGCAACTAAGTGGCTCAGATTTGGGAATATTATTAATAGAAGTTTTGGAACAATCTGAAGAGTCTAACTACGAATTGTGGGCTCCAAAATTAACGAACATATTCCGTCAAATAAATATTTCCACTCCAGAACGTGACACATTTTTAGCACATGCTGTTCGTTGGTCATCTAAAGGATCATCTCATGGACACCCACAATTACATAGGGTATGTTGCGATATACACCTTGTAACAGTGTATTTGTTTATATATGTTTCTGCTTGTTGTAGAGTGTAGCTTTGGTTTATTGGGCTGAAAAAAATTATCCACAGGCACGTCACCATTTTATATATTCCCAGGATGGTAAGAGCTGTGCTAAACTTTTAATAGAGTTCCAACGTAGTCGGGGATTTAAAGAAGAAGCTGATTTATTCATAGCACAGACTGTATTTCAATATTTATGTTTAAAAAATAAAAGTACTGCAAATCAGACATTTACAAGTTACACAGAACATCATCCTAGAATACAGGGGTCAGGACCACCATACTTGTTTCCTTTGCTCAATTTTATATGGTTCTTGTTACAGGCTATTGAAAGGTAAGCATTTGTTAAACATTTTTACATTTACAAGAATTTAACATCAATTTAATAACAAGTATTTACAATAAAAACAAAATGCAACAAATAAAAAAAATTAAAGCAAATAAATACATTTATTTGTTTATCGTATCGTATCGTATCGTTTAAGAAATGGTGTATATAAATATAATTTTAACATACACATAAATGTATTTGAAAGCTGTGGAGGTCTATTTTTAAAGGACTGCATTTATTTTAGATTTGATTTGGGTTCAACTGTAACAGTGCTAACAATAGTAGTAAAAATGGCAATTGTAATTATTTTATTGCAAAGGAATGCCAAATAGTTGATGTGTCTTGGTAGATATAATAGGTACATCTAAATTAAGTAATTTGTTCCAAGAAAAAAACCTAAATTCATATTTCTAGAATTAATAAAGAAAACACAGGCATTCATAAGAAGCCACACCATAAAATAAATTAGAAATTTGATTCTGGAAGATAGAGATATTTTTTTACATTTCTACAAATTCTAGTTTTTGTAAATTTAGTGCCTAAAGGATATTGGATTAGTGCTCATAATTACTAATAAAGAAACCCATACTACTTTGTGTGCTGTGCATGTGGATATTTTATGATGGTGACTAATCAGATAAAACATACTCAATTGAGGGGTCCAGTGCATACATCTATTAAGTCAAATTTTTAGGTAAAATGAGTTGAGTACAGTTCGTCCCAAACCCTTCTTTCAGTGCGTCATAGTTGTTCGAATTCTCTCTAACGCATTAAGCTAGAAGTGACAGAAAAAAACGTGAGTCTCTGATTATTATACATAGAACTTAGAAAATTAGGTATCGGTCACGGGTATTCGCATATTAAAGCGAATTCTACTTACGAACGTATAATTGGTTGGAGTTTATAATACGCTAAATAGATATCCAATCAATTATGCATATAAATATAATTTGTCACAGATGATCTTGATAATGACAGTGACAGTACTTTCACAATGTCAACTGATAAAATGATAATTGCAGTTCCAGGTTAGTATTTTCAGACATTTTACCTACAGTGAAAATTAAATTTTCTATTTATTGTCTTAAAAATATTTTAAATATTCCGAGATATACCGAGAATGAACATAGACTAATATTAAAATTATTAAATTAGTTTCAATTAGAAAAAGAGGCTGAGTTCTTTATTATCAGTTTCTGTCATTCGCGAATCAGATTGTGAATTCCGGAATGATATTGAGAAAATATCTTAAACTAATACCGCTATGGATATTTATGTGTATTAAAACGGTTCTTTTTAGAAAAACGACATTTTCTTGAAATGTAAGATATAATTGATACCAGCCACATATCTAGTGTAATAATTGATTTTAAAGAATCAGATTCTGAATGGGATTATGGATTGTTTAAAATATAATATTCATTTTTGTTACTCATAAAAAAGAAGGTAAACTTACATTCGGTATCTTGTTTTTTAACTAAACTCCATTAACACGATTTCATCTGGATACCGGAACTGGTAGATTAACTCAAAAATCAACTGCTTCACTATTTAAACTATTTCCACTATTTAATGACAAATCTTCACAAAATTAAACTATTGGCTGCCACAGAAACTTATCAGAAAATTACTTATCCAAATATGACTGATTTAAATGGATGTTATTTTATCACAGAAATGTTTACTTTGATGCCTTGCAATTGCAATTGACATTGCAATATGCCTGTGTGTTTGTAATAAATATTAATAAATCCATAAACGAATCTAAGCTAATTAAGCACTTTCCTTAGAATGTATAAAATAGAACAGAATAGATCAGAATTATGACAAACTGCTATGCATTTAAAAAAAAATAACCTTTTCACATTTAGCCGATTACGATCTTGCAACTGTCAGATTTAACTAAAATGTCATGCAATAATTCTCGACATTCTATAAATCCTATATGACGTCAAAATTAGTGACGCACTGAAAAAAGGGTTTGGGACAGACTGTAGATATTCTTGGACAGTTTAACATTCTTAATCTTTCAATGTATAAAGCAGCTCTGTGCCACTATAAAAATAAGGAAACTAGAGGTTATTGTTGGTTGCCTATATTTCAATACAATACGTTGCCTATAGTAGAATTAGTCAAAATACTATTTTGATGTAAAGGTCTTGTTGAAAATATTTCACAGTGTTTAGTTAGTGATTTTTTATTGGTTTTAAGTTAAAAATTATATCATATAAGATTATTATGATGCAAAATAAAAAAGTTAACCTTACAAAGCAACATGCAAAATGACTTAACTCAGATGATGATTATTCTTCTGATTCTCAAGGCCCTCCAGTATTTCAGGAAATGAAAATGATGCCAAATCTTCTGCTCAAATATCTTTCATATTATGTTTCAGCTTGCAACCTTCATTTGTGACCATTTTTTCTCAGCAATCTTATATCATCATATTAAGAAAAAATTAACTTTAATTTGATATAAAAAACATGCAAATATGTCATGAGTTGCATATAAAAATAAATGAACAAAATAAATTTTTTTTTCAAAAATTAATTGAGATAAATTGAATTAAAAATATTTGCATCTACTTTTTGACTGGCAACCTATTATCAATGTATTCTCCTAAATTTTAAATGTATTTAAAAATTTGATTTTGGTAAACTATATCAGTGTGATCCAACCTCAGGCACAAGGACCACATGCGGCCCGAGGCTCATTAAACTGTGGCCCCAGCAAACACATTTCAAAAATATTGCCATTGATAACTTTTACCTGTTCTAACCCTCTCTAACTTTCCGTAACCTTAAGAAAGTAGTTTACCTTGAACACCTACTCCTGATGAGCGGGCAGTTAGCTTCAGTCAGCTGCAAGGTCCTGTTGAATTAACAGTGGCGAGTAAATTGAATGTTAAATTTAGAATGAGTAGTGTCAAAAAACGCAAAATTTTTGAAGAGAATCGTATGTTCCAAGGAAAATGGGAAAATCAATATTTCTTTATCTAATTAAAGGGCAAACCTCAGTGCATTATTTATTGTCAAGTAACCGCGGTATCAAAATAATACAATATTAGTAGGCATTATGAAACCCAGCACAAAACAAAATACGATAAATATCAAGGTGAAGCTCACACTACTTTTGTAAAAGAACTTAAAGCTAAATTGAATAAACAAAAATCTCTTTTTACAGAACCTACAGCTCTTCAATCATCAAGCTTAGCAGCATCATATAAAGTATGTTTAGAGCTTGTCAAAAGTAAAAAAGCATTTAGAAATGGAGAAATGATCAAGCAGTGTGCCATTAAAATGGCGCGATTCTGCTATTCTTTGGAGGTAAAAGATGGCAAACAATTTTGAATGTGTTTCAGTTCCCCATCAAACTGTATCTAGAAGAGTTGATGAGCTGAATACTCATGTATTTAAAAAAATG